AACATTACGTTATTTTAAAGACAAGTATTTTATTAAAAAAACAAAGAAAGATTTTTTTTTATTATTTGTTTCATTTATGTAAAGATGGATTCAACTTGATATAACAATAGTTATATTATCAATAGCTGGAATTATTTTAGAAAAAAATGAATAGTAGACATATATTTCCTATTAATCCAACTCTTATACATGTTATGAGAGTACTCAGAATTGAATGAGGTTAGTTTTTTAAAATTTTATATTTTATTGTATGATTTATTCAGATAATTTAGCTATTTAACAGATTCTTTTTCTATTTAAGATAGTAACATAAATTAGAGAAGATTTCATCATTCCTCTTACATTCTATTTGATCAAATTTTGAAAATTCCCTACTCTTTTATCTTAATTGATAAATGCATAACGAGTACATTTACAAGAAAAAGAAAAAAAAAACAACTTCCTTTTTAACAAATAAGGAAATTCGAGGGGAAAACAACGAATTTCAAGCATAGAGATTTCAAATTTTTAAAAGATTTTATAAGACTTCATCAGATTTCAAGGCTGAAGTGCCAGTTGTTTACCCCTCGAAGAAATCATAAAAGTTATTTGATAAGTAAACAGTATATTATACTAAGCTTTTTATGTGTTTAATATCATTACAGATAGGTGAAGTAAATAGTTATGAAAAAATATAATGAATCATTGAAATTTGATGTCAAATATCTAAAATAAAGATTTGAGTTGAGAGAAAAAGTTTATTTAAACATGGCAGAAATATTTTTGTTATGAATTTTTGAAAAAAGAAACAAATATCTAAATGAAAAGTTGAATTAATTGTAGTACTTAAATTATTAAAAATAGCAAAAGGTATTCGAGCATTATAAGATACAGTTATTCAAACTCTTCCACAAGTTGAAAATTTGGTAAAAAAAAAATATTACCTTATTAATTAATCTAATAATAATAATTTCTTTGTTTCTATAAAGGGTCTTTTATTTTTTCTTCTTTTCTTCATATTTACTGCACTTGGCGTTGAATTATTTGGAATATTAAAATGTAATGAAGAACGTCCATGTACTGGACTTGATAAGCATGCACATTTTACAGATTTTGATATAGCTTTTTTAACATTATTTCGTATTGCAACTGGTGATAATTAGAATGGAATAATGAAAGTAACTCTTATCTTTTTTTTTAATTATTATTATTTATTTTTTGTAAAATTTCTATATGATTTTCAATATAAAAGGATGTATTACGTCAAGATGATTCTCCACA